TAATGTGCAACTCACACCAACTCTCACTGCTATATCCTGGTTAGTTAGACTGTGCAGCTGGGCCCATAACCAGTGTTAGTGTTTGGGGATAAACCCCTAGCAGAGTATGCAGCAGCAGTCAAGCCAGGCAGCCAAATGAGAGATGAAGGGTTTTAGAGTATACACACACTGAACACAAACACTGTTTGTAGTTTAAATAGTTTTTAATCCAGTTAGAGTTTAAGAATTGTCAATCAGTCCGTATGTCATTCACAATATATCCATTCAGTAAGACTCACTAACTCAGTCCAGGTAATAGTCCTTACTATATCTTTATCAGCCGATAAAGATATCTTCTCCTCCTCCGATCCTTTTCTCCAGAGGATAACGCTGGATATTCAGTAGTACGATCAAACAGTAGACAGTCGCAGTAAAACAGTAATAAACAGTTGTATCCAGCAGTAAACAGCAGTAAACAGTAAACAGTAAAGCACTATGCAGTAGGCTTTCCAGCTTTCTCCTGCTTCCTCTTATTGCAGTTTCTAACCGCACCCTTAATTGGCTAATTACATGCAGTGTGGTGCTTAAAGTTACAAACACTTAAACTATGATACCTTAGTTTATATATTTATCCATCCAAACCTTGTTGGGTATCAATGTTATACCTAACAGGAGGAATTTAAATTGCAAGCCTTTGCCGATGACTTGGTTTTTATCTTGGAAGACCCTCTAGAGACAGCTTTAAAACTATTGGAAAAGATAGAGATATATGGTGAGATGGCTGGCTTGAAAATAAATAAAGACAAAACAAAGATTTTGACAAAGAACATGCTGTTAAGACAAAGAGAAGAGCTGGCAGACTTATTGAAAATTCAAGTTACGAACAAAGTTAAATATTTGGGGATATATTTGACGTCAAGATGTTCTACACTGAAAGATAATAACTATATTAAACTTAAACAGCAGATAGCATCTGATTTGGAAAAACATATCTGAGTTTAAAACTTCTCAAAGAAGTTTTACAATTGTCATTGATAGGCAGAATTTCAACAATTAAGATGAATATTTTACCTAGAATTTTGTATTTGTTCCAAACAATACCAATTAGGTTAGGTAAGGATTACTTTGAAGAACTGAATAAAATTGTGTTGAAGTATATATGGCAAGGTAAGAAAGCAAGAATAAAATTAAAACTTTTACAGGATGCTAGAATTAGAGGAGGATTTGGCCTCCCTAATTGGGAGTTGTATTATCAAGCTGCAAACTTAATGTGGGCTAAAGAATGGATAACGTTAAGAAAGACCAGATTGTTGGCATTAGAAGGACATGATTTATTATTGGGTTGGCATGCTTTTTTATGGTATAAGGGAACTAAATCACAGGGTTACTTTAGAAGGCATTATATACGGGAATCGTTATGGTTGAATTGGGAGAAAACTAAGAAACAATGTTATTTGAAAATCCCAGTTTGGTTATCAACTATTGAAGCTTTTTCTTATCCTATAACCTATAAGAAGGAACAAACAGTTAGATATGGGGAATTATTAGATGAAAAGGGTGAACTTAAAACGATGCAAAATTTAGAAAAACAAGGTATAAAGATGAATTGGTTTTCATATGCGCAAATACATTCAAGGTATCTTAAAGATTCTAAAATGGAAGGATTCTATGATAAATTGACTGATTTAGATAGGATTTTGACAGGTACTGATGAAAAAGTGATTAAAAAATTATATAATTATTTGTTGGAAATTAAATTAGAGGAAGAGCAGGTTAAAGAAACAATGATTGCTTGGGGGAAGAATTTTGGATATGGGATTGATTTAGAGAAATGGCAAAAATTGTGGTCTCAAAATTATAAAATGACAATGTCAACAGCATATAAAGAAAATTTGTATAAGATGTTTTACAGGTGGCATTTTCCCCCGACAAGAATAGCAAGAATGTTTAAGAATAAATCTGAAAAGTGCTGGAAATGTCAACAGATACCTGGCTCATATTACCATATGTGGTGGACTTGTGAGGATGCTAGAAAATATTGGACTAGAATTCGCATATGGTTGGAAAAAATGACAAAGAAACATATAGATTTGAAACCAGAGATTTTTTTATTGGGAATCTTACCTGATACATATAATAAAAACCTAAATTATTTGATTGTAAATGTATTAACAGCGGCTAGGATTGTATTTGCTAAAAATTGGAAGAATGAGAAAATACCTTCAGAAGAAGAAGTTATTAAGAAAATATTGGAATGTGCAGAAATGAGTAGATTGACATTTGAAATTAGAGAACAAGAAGATAAACAATTTTATGAAGTTTGGGATCTTTTTTATCAATGGTTGGATAATACAATATAATAATAAAATATTTAGAGATCTAGGAAATAATGAATATACATTTTTTGGGGGGGGGGTTGATAATACTTTTATAATACTTTATTAAGATAGATTTGGTATGATTTTATGATTTGTTGGGAAAAAAATTAACTAAACTATAGTTATCTCGCTTAAGTATGAATTAGTTAAATTATAGTCAAATGATTGTTTAATAATATTAGGATATATAATTGTTGATTGATAATATGAGTTATTATGTAATATAATTATTATAATGACTATGAAATGAATGCACAAAAAGGAGTGGTAAACCAACCGATACACTGTCTGTAAATTTATGAAGGATGATGATGTTTTTATGTTATGTTTTATGTTTTATGTGTTTTTTGGTTTGTTGTTAAAATCAATAAAACGTTAAAAAAAAAAAAAAGCACAACAATGTTCTTTTTGCATCAACTCAGAAAGCTCAAACTGCCCAAGGAGCTGCTGATACAGTTCTACAGAGGAATTATTGAGTCTGTCATCTGCACCTCTATAACTCTCTGGTTTGGTTCTGCAACCCAACAGGACAGACACAGACTTCAGAGAGTAATTAGGACTGCAGAAAAAACAATTACTACCAACCTGCCTTCAATCAAGGACCTGTATACTGCACGAGTCAGAAAGAGGGCTGTGAAAATATTTACAGACCCCTCACATCCTGGACATAAAACTGTTTCAACTCCTACCCTCAAAATGACGCTATAGAGCACTGCACACCAGAACAACTAGACACAAGAACAGTTTTTTCCTGAACGCCATCACTCTGCTAAACAAATAATTCCCTCGACACTGTCCAACTACTGCACTACTATTACTATTAATCTCATCACTCCTTATCACCCATCCTCTCCCACTTGTGACTTTATGACTGTAACTTTGTTGCTTGTATCCTTATTGACTGTTTCCTAGTATGATTTGATTGCTTATTGTACCCTATGACTATTAAGCGTTGTACCTTATGATTCTTGACTCTTGATGAATGTATCTTTTCTTTTATGTACACTGAGAGCATTTGAACCAAGACAAATTCCTTGTGTGCAGGGGTGGGATTCAACTGGTGTTCCTACCAGTTCGGTGACTACGTTTTGCGACTACTTTACACCTGGCGCGCAATGTGCGCATGTGTAAAAAAAAATAAGCTGTGCCGCCCAGACAGCTGAAAAGCACTGCGCAAGTGTGCGCATTTGAAAAGCCTCTTTTTTCCCTGCTTTTTCAACCTCAGCTGGGCCGTGCAAAGCAGCTGAGGTTGAAAAAGCAGGAAATAAACGACAGGTAAGAACCCAGGTGGGTGGGTGGGCCAAACAGCAGCAAACATAGAACCGGTTCGGTGTCTGCTGCTCTTCAGAGCTACCGGTTCTTTCGAGCCGGGCAGAACCAGTAGCATCCCACCCCAGCTTGTGTGTCCAATCACACGTGGCCAATAAAGAATTCTATTCTATTCTATTCTGTTCTATTCTATTCTATTCTATTCTATTCTATTCTATTCTTCTAGTCTAGTCTAGTCTAGTCTAGTCCAGTCCAGTCCAGTCCAGTCCAGTCCAGTCCAGTCCAGTCCAGTCTCCTGTAAACGGTTGACAAATCAAATAAATAAATAAAATAATTTGAGTTTAAGCTATTGCAGAAGATGAATCTAAGCAATTGTTGAGCCTAGTGTTGTTCGTTACCAACTGCTCCAGCCCCAGAGTCGTAACAGCATTGTACAGGGTTGCATGTATAGGTTTGGTTGTACATTTGTTTAGGGTCCAATTAGTAAGAGGTAAATTGAGGTCACCAAGAAACATAAGGGGGTGCGGACAGTGGTGGGATTCAGCCAGTTCTACTCAGTTTGGGCAAACCGGTAGCGATAATTATGCCTGGCCCCACCCACCCCTGCCCCTCCTAGTCACTCCTGAGGATGAAGAAAAATAACACATCAGTGTTGTGACTGGAAGGTTTGAGCCTGCTGTGAGTTTTGAGTCTGATGTATCAAAAGACACAGGTTTGAGTGATGAGGAAGGTTTGGCATTGGAATTGGAGCCTGCTCTAATGAGAGATGCAGACGTGAGCCAGGAGGATGATGGAGTGTCGGAAACACCATCTTCTCCTGAACCTTCCACATCAATCATGCCTCAGGTGTCAGCAGCTGATCCACAGAACTTACCAGAGTCCTTGAGTGATGGCAAATGTTGGGTTGATGCAAGGACTAGACGCAGGTTGAGACATCAAGCACAATTTGAAAAGAAACATCAAGTCAGAGACTAATTAGAGAGACTGACACGCCCCTTCAAGAAATATAAGGAGGCGTGTTAGTTAACGGCCCTTGTCTGGATCAACTTGTTAATTACCTCGCAGCGTGGAAGAAGTCTTCTGCCCTTTTGGCTCTGAATCATCCAGTGACTCATTATCTTGGTGCAAAGGCAGTTTCTGGGAGAGCTGCCAACGACGTTTACAGAGAGGAGTTAACTCTGTGGTGTCTGAAATTCATTTGTTCGTGTTTGTTGCTGTGGGACATTTGGACTCTCATTTGTGGTTACAGGTGAGACATAACACATCAGTATTGCAGTTACTAAACAAATAAGTCAATTTCAGCAAAATGGAGACACAACAGATGAGAAAGGAAAAAACTGGATTCACATGCTTCAGGAAAAGGTGATGAGGTAAAATCATTTAAACACACAGTAAATGCAAGGATGAAACTTTTCTTGTAAATGAACTTAAAACATTCATTAATAACCTTGGGTTTTTCTTAAAAGCACAGAGAGGAAAGAAAATTGAACTCTGTTCCTCATCCAGTCTAGTTGGCCAGACCAGACCGGGAGAAGACATTTTCTCTCAGTGTTTTTAATTCTTAACAATTTAAAATTCATATCTGAAGGGATCAGAGACACTTAACAGTTGCAACAGTTACCTCAAGAACACACAAAGACTTAGACACACACGTGCGCACGCACACGCACAAAGACACAGAGAGGAAAACAAAACTCTGAGGTTTACACACACACTGACAAATATCTCAGTTATATTGGGGAAGGCACAAATCTTAAGGAACAAACCACGTGGTTGCATAGAAGACAAAGAGACACAGAAAGAAACAAAAAAAAAATCCCATGTGATCCTGTTTTATATATTGCCCTTTTAAGTACCTTTATTTAGCCAAATTGGTCTTCCTGTATCCCTCAGCAAAGCCCATTCTCTACATATACATTTTGCCTTTTTCTTGCTCATGCCGGCTAGGGTCGGCATCTGCCGCTCATCCCAAGCCTCCAACAGCTCTCCCAGGGGGGTTCCACTCAGGACCCTCGAACTACTGCTTCCCATGTTTCCCCTTCCGATGTGGGGTTTCATACTTTGGCTTAGTTGGGTCAGTCAGCGACCCAGTTTTCAGACACAAGAAATTCAAGAGCAAGAAAAAAAAAAGGTGTCTGAGGGAGACTTTGGTTCCTTCCACAAAGTATGTGCACTCCCCTTAAAAAAAAACAAAAAAACTCTTTCTCTCTTTTCGCCATGGTTTTCGGACTGGGGGTAAGCTGCCTGTGCAGACTTCTTCCCTCTCCCCCAAAAAAGACAGTCTGTGAGACTTTCTGCCCCCACGCAGATAAGTACTAGTACTCCGCCTCTTTAACTTCAGGCCTATGTTTAGCATATTTGGAAGAGCTCAAATCCGGGAAAACTTGCTGCTCTTATGCAGGCAAGTACTGGCACTCCTAATTTCAACTTCCTAATTACACAATTACCTAAAATCCTGGGGTTTGCTTTTGGGATACACTGGACAAAAAAACCAACAAAAATTTCTTCCCTCCCTTCAATCATAGCCCGCTTGGCTTTCCCTCTTATATACAGAAGGTCCCACACTCTGATGACCCCCCCTTGCTTTTCCTGTCCTGATGATCATGGCTGTAGAGCTAGCAACAGGCAAGAGGGCGGCTAGAGGCCAAACAAAGAAATGAGATCCAGCTGCTGTCCAAGGGTGAAGCCACTCACACACATGCTCTTCCTCCTTCCCTAACAAAAGGTCCTGTGCTCTGGCAAAACCCCCATGCTCTCCAGACTTTTGGTCTTTCTGTGGTTAGGAAATGCACAGAGGAAGCAAGATCCAATTGTGTTTGGGAGAAGGGCCCTCTCACACACATGCAAGTATACACACATTTCCCATGCTTTAAATTTAGAATTTAGAGGTACTCACCTTCCTTCCAAACAGCCTTTGAGCTCAACACTCAAAACCCCTTTAAAACCTTTTTTCCAAATGGTCAAGGTCCAGGAAAACTCATCCACAGACTCAGTGGGTCTATTTGCCGGCAAGGGAATCTTACCTGGGCCTGGTCCATTGGTTAGGTTAGCTTGGAGTCCCTTCATGGTCGCCAATATTGTTGGAAGAAATATCCTTCTGGGTTCAGTTCCAAGTGGGGAAAAAGACACTGGAAACATGGAGGCTGTTTGGAAGGTTTAATGGTTGACAGGACCACATGGCCTGGAGCTCCAGAGTGAAAAGGAAGGATGATCACATGCTTCAAAATGAAGGAAGAGATCAAGAAAGGGCTGAGGTGCTGAGAGTGCCTGGGTTTTATAACCTTTGTTGGGATTTGAATTGGAGCTTGTATTCTGAATGGTTGTCAGACTCCCATTAGGCCATGCAGGGGAAACTTTGTAGGCTGTCCTGAGTTCCAAGCTTGGTTGAGCCTTGCTGGATGATGATGCACTGAAAAGGGCTTTTGGCAATTGCTATAGCTTTACCTGGAGATCTTTGTTATGTAAAGTATTCTGGCCCAGGCCTTAATGGCCCACCCATTAACAAAGGTGGGGGGTGAGCTTCTACTTCTGAGGTGAGTTTCTGCTTCTGAGTTTCTACTCCCTTCTGGGGAAATATTAGTTTCTATAAGAGGTTTCGATGTTTCTCATTCTAAAGTGTTTGTGCTGGCTCTGAGATAACTTCCTGATCTCAATATGTTTGGAGCTGCAGCTTCTTGTGATTAAATAGCTCTTGACTGTGGTCTGTGTTTTTCCTGGCTATTCCTAATGTATTTTATTAATGTTTTCCTTATGGTTTTATGCATCATCTTTATGTTCCATTCCTACACTTTGCAGGGAAGGGAAGCAGCTGAGCTGCCACTGCCTTTCATTGGGGTGCGTGGAGCAAGATGGAGCTCCTCCAGCCATCTCTTCTCTTCCTCCTTCTCTTCGTCTCTTTGTGGGCAGAAGAATTTTCCCCACCCACCACCGCCCAGATGCCCTTGCTTTCCCCAAATTCCCCAAACATTTCTTTGCCTACCTGATGTCCAGCTCCACTGCCTTTCTTGCCATCGTGTGCAGGGAAACGAAAGTTAGTTTGGGGCTAAAAAAAAAGTTCAATCAATTCCAACTTCTCGCGAAAGAAAAAGATCATGCAAAGTTGGAATTGATGGAATGAATTTTTTTTTAGCCCCACACAAACTTTCATTTCCCTGCACACGATGGCGAGAAGGAGAAATGCGATGGAGCTGGACATCAGGTAGGCAAAGAAATGCTTGGGGAATTTGGGGAAAGTGAGGGCATCTGGGCGGTGGTGGGTGGGGAAATCTCCCTGGCGTGGGGCTGCAATGACAAAATGGGCAATGGAGCAGCCGGTGCGAGGTAAGGAGGCTTTTCCTTTTTCCCTGCTCCTTGTATTTCCCTTGTGCCAGCCTCTACATTGCATTTCCCACCGCAGAGGCCTGGAGCGCATCACGAAATTCGGCCTCTTAGCACTCTGGGGCGGGAAAGCGCCAGTGGGGAGAAATCACCCTGCTGAGCCCAAACTAACATAGAGCAAGAATGAAAACGATTTCCCAAAGAGGTAAAGGGCTACACTTTGCTAGAGTTATTCTTTGCTTCCAATCTGTTGAGGAAGGGGATTTGGACTCCATTGTCTACGTTTCGCTTTCCAACCCCATGGTTCACTAGTGAAAATTATAACCCAAGAACATATAGATCGGTTAAAATGTTCCCATTCTCACTTTCCATATTGGGAATCCCTGGGTACCATGCAATGATCTCATCAAATAATTCACCAAGCAAATGTTGGTGCTTTCTTAATTACACCAATGCAAACAATGTGCCCACAATGACTTTGTAAAATGAAACTTTATTTAATTGGTCATCTCATCACACTTCAGAATCCCAAAGGTGCTTTTTCAAGAGGCAACTGGACTTTCAGATTTTTCTTTGAAGAAGCTCCTTGGATGAGAAGCAAAACATCTTCAAAGAAAAACCAGAAAGTCCAGTTGCCTCTTGAAAAAGAGCACCTTTAGGACAACCATGACCTGGATGACTGAGAATATCCATAGACATCAAGCTCCAGAATCCTTGCTTTGCTGCAGAGCAAAGAGCAACAACCTGGTTTGTTTGCACAGAGAAGGCAGGCAGGAAGTTGGTAGGGTTTATTCATTTAGCAAAGCCTTAAGGGAAGATTGAAGAGGACTTGATTGAAAATAACTAGATAGAACTCAAGTTCTACTTAGTCCTTCTGCTTTTGTGACTTCCACCAAATACCAAGTCAGATCAATAATGGATCATTTGCAAGTAGATAGGAAAAGGCTCATGCATAAATTTAGGCCAAAGAAATCCTGATCAACCCCCCCCCCCCTTGTCGAAAGCCTGCTGGGACAGTCACAAATGGCAATCACATGACCCCAGGACAGTGCAAATGAGGCAGAACATAAAAGAAGAAATATATTAATTTTAGAGAAATAATGATATAAGTTTTATAGATAGTGAAATAAGTGTATTAGCAAGAGAAAGAACACAGAAATGTGAAATACCAAACCACAAGATCATCTGCCAGTCACTCACTCATATTCGTCAAGCAGGAAACCTTGTCTCGCTTGCAACAAAACCACAAACGGAGGTACAAAAAGCTAGAGGGTTTAGCAAGATGGGTTAGCAAAGAATTTGTAACATCTAGCTACTGTAGCCTAGCAACAAGGGGCTGTGTTTCAAGTAACCAATGGATGAATGACAAGTTACATTTCCGTGGTTTACTACTTTTGAAAGTGAATATACGTGAGTGTTAAATCTATAGGAGTCGTTCAGATGTTGCTTCGGCTAAAATGCTCTGAACCTTTGCGCAAATAAAACTTATTTTTGGATTCCAAGGTCTGAGTCTTGTAATTTCCTGCAACACAATGGTCATAAATACATGCCAATTGCCAAACAGCCAAATTTTGATCATGTGAACATGAGGATGCTGCAACAGGCATAAATGCAAGGACCAGTTGTAAGTGCAAGGACCAGTCATAATTCACTTTTTTCAGCCCTCTTTGTAGTCCCCATAGTCCCTATGTGGGACTACTCAGAGGGCTGGAAAAAGTGAATTATGACTGGTCCTTGCACTTATGACTGGTCCTTGCACTTATGACCGGTCCTCACATTTTATGTTTTATGACCTATCTTGTCACTGTGGTGAAGTGAAGCGCTGCATTTGCAAAATGAGTGACACAATTAAGAATGCAGGCATAAATGCGAGGACCGGTCATAAGTGTGAATCAAATGAGGCACTTCAGATTTCGTGGTGATGACAGTGGCCATGGAAGAGAGATTTGCAGTACAATTAGAGGTGTTTTAGGTATGTTGAGAAGGCGGGACCAGGCATGGTGAGTGATGTTGAGTTGGCCACGCCCACCCAGTCACATGACCACCTAGCCATGCCTACCAAGCCACACCCACAGAACCGGTAGTAAAAAAAATTGAATCCCACCACTGGGTGCGGGCAGGAAGCTGCCCACATTAGTAGTGCAGTTAGTGTCAGGGCTCCAACAAATCCCCCTCATTCAAAGCAAAAGTCTCTAGCAGCATCTCAGAAAAAGTAAATTGGTTTATTAGAAAT